TTTTGTGATTTGAATGGTGCATTTGATCGATCGATTGATCATTTGATCATGTTGAGAGATCAGTCATGATCATTTGATCAATCGATTGATTATTTGGTCACACTGACTGATCAGTTTTTAGTGATCATTTTTAAAGACTTTGTGATGTCTGATCACTCCACTTATTAGATGCTATTCGAACATTGGCCGATATCCGTACGGCGTGCAGCAGATCTCGATCGGGTTTGGATGTGAAACAATCGGAATTGTGGCGCATGAAATTGGTGAGTAGCCTGAAATCGTGTAACCTGAAATTGTGGTACTTTTGACCTGATATCATCTATTTTTGAATGGCATTTTGAAGAATCACCCCCCCCCCACTGTTTCGGTGATTTCGTTGACTTGAAAAGTATTTTTTATGTGGCTCAATTTGAATTTGAATTTCAGGTCATGCGCTGGGATTTTTTCATGAGCAGTCGAGGTACGATCGTGACGATTACGTGCGTATTTTGGGCAGAAATATTGAAAGCGGATTCGCCAGCCAGTTCAGTAAGCACTCATCGAAATACATCGAAACTTATGGAGTGCCGTATGATTTTGGCTCGGCAATGCATTATGACCAACGGGTAGGTGGATTTTAGTGTGTGTGTGTGCGAATTGGATAGGTTTGATCTGAGATTTGATCACTTGATCATAGATCATCATATCGATCAAATTGTGTCGATCGTTTGATCACAGTTGATCATGAAAATTTGGAAGCTGAAAAAAGAGGCGATAGAGAAATGGCTAATATGAAGTGGCAGTGATTTGTAGAGTTGAGGTCATATTTTAATTCATTTTTTTTCAGGCATTCAAAATTACTTTAATTCAAAATGAATTAATTCATTTTCAGGCATTTTCGAAGTCGAATCTGAACACGATCGAGACGATCGATCCGAATTATCAGAACACGATTGGACAACGCAGCCGATTGTCGTTTAGCGATGTGAAGAAGATTAATGCGGCCTATTGCAGCGGTATATTTTGTGATTGTTTGGCAATTTGAGCGTTGCAATCCTATTGAGTTGGCGTTTTTTGTGCGAACTTTTGTGCTGTCCGAAAGATTGCAGCTGAAAATTTTTTAAAAAAAAATTTCAATTCAGCTGCAGATTTTTGCATTTCAATTTCGATGAGCGAATTTTCAGATGTATGCGCGGAAAAGCTGGCGTGTCAGTTCGGTGGCTATACGGATCCGAAGAACTGCTCCAGGTGTCGATGTACGGACGGTCTATCGGCTCCACTCTGCGCCGATCCGACTAGAACCTCAAAAGATTGCGGTCAGCTGAAGCGACAGGCCACCGCCCGCTTTCAGGAGCTTTCGACGAGCGGCTCGGGTGAATGTAACTACTTGATTACGGTACGTTTTACAGTACTTGTTTACTTCGATAGTAGTTGATTACGGTATCGAGATTACGGTAGCAGTATTTCAGGCACCGTCGCGACGCGCTCAAATCCTCATCGAGTTCGTTGGCACGGTCAGATTTCCCCGTCAGATACCGTGTCGTTTCCAGTTCGTCGAGATACGCTATGAGCACGATTTGAGCACAACAGGAGCTAGGTAAGCTAGTTGACTGATCAATAATCAATAAGTGATTGATCAATAATCAGTGATCACTGAGAAACGGAGTAGGTAATTTCTATAATTCAGTACCTGTAAATAGTACGTGTTTTGCAGATTCTGCTCAAGTCGATCCACAACAAAGGACGTGCTAAGCAAGTCCAACAATGTACTCCTGCTATATCGTGGCTCGAAGACGACGCATTTTACGATCAGATAC